GGGCAGTCCTACTCTGTCCTGTAGGATATGGCCCTGAGTTGGAATCGACTCAACAGTGAGCTTGGTTTTTCTCAGGTTAATTCCTCAGGTTTTAGTTTTCAGCTCTCTGAGGTCAGGAGCCATGTGCCTGGTGGGAAGCTAATCACAAAGTTGGCTCAGAAAATACTTCAATAACAATTATTTCAGTTATTAAAAATGTTTGAAAATTTTATCCAGGGTTAAAACCACATTTCAGTAACATAAAACCAACGTACACATTTTTTTCCTACTAGTAACGAACAACTATTTTTGCATAAAAGAAATAATTGTCTTGGAATTTATACCTTAGCAAGGATCTTGAAGACATGACTGGTGCTATCAAAGACAGGTGTCATTTTCTTCTTAAGTTTCAGGAAAATAATTGTTGTGGTACTGTAGGATAAACACTTGGTCACAAGGTCGGTTTGAACGACAAGGTATGAGTTGGAACTCACTGGACGACCCTTAACAACAACACAACAATACTGTAAAGAGTCCTGGTATGGCACCGCAGGATAAGCACTGGATTGCTCACTACAAGGTCCTTGATTCAAGCCGACCGGCCACTCCTTGGAAACACTACTCAGGGTTACTATAAGTCATAACTGACTCAGTGGCACTAACAATATAGAGAATTCACAATTATAACAAGAATTTAAAGTCAATGTTGTTTCTATTACTTAAAAAAAATTCAGCTTTTTAAAAGTGCTTTTAGATTGGTTGCTTTATGATGCTTAAGCTATTATGCCCCATTCATACAAGTTACAACTGTTTTAAGTGACAGTTATGTTAATAGATGAATAAGTATGTTAGCTAGGAGGGAACTTAGGCAACTACCCAAACTTTCCTTGGTAAAGAATGAAATGAAAGGATATATCAGTGTCAAAAACATGTACTAGTATGATTTTTCATTTTAGGAATGTACAAGTAGTATAAACTATTGCTTTGAAATGTGAGTTTTGTTGACTGTAAGTAGTTGTAAAAACTTGTTACAAGGTTTTTGCATTTACATGAACTTTCACTCATTTTTCAGAATTTGTTCCTAGAGACAGAGAACCCAATACAAAAATGAGAACATGTGTGCATAATCAGAAGGATGCAGTGCAAGTGCCTAGTGAAACTCTGAAAGCAAATATGGTACCTGAGAAAGTTCCCCGCAGATGTGCCGCTGTTGCTGCAAATAAAATAAAGATAATGAGTAATGTAAAAGAAATGATTTCAGGACCAGAAAATGGCTGGATTAGGAAGAGTAGCAGAAAACTGCCCCACCGAAATGCTTCTGCTGCAGCTAAGAAAAAATTACTGAATGTTTATAAAGAGGATGACACAAGCATAAATTCTGAAAGTGAAAAAGCTAGAAGATACTAACAGCAAAATTCTTTTGATTAGGTGGTTCCGATCCTGGAAAGGAAAAGCACCAAATAGTGACTATGAAAATGTAGAAGTGGAGTCTGAAAACCATCAGGGACCACAGTAAACTGGCAGTTGCATTCTGCTTCTAGTTCTGAAATAAATCCCTTGGCGTCTTTTGAGGAATTTTCTAAAAGCCATAATTCAGTGGGCCAAAGTGCAAGGAAGGCTTCCTACCAGCTGTCCTTACAAGAGATACGAACACACAGTTCTGAGGAGGAAATAGATTATGGTATGGAGCCTGTAAGTGGAGAGGCGAGGCGGAAAGAAACCACAAATGGCCTGTCTTAATTATTTCCACTCCTTTCCAGAAAGCTAGGGCTTTGAAGAAACCGCTTTTTGATTTCTTAGAGGAAGAAAATGCAAAGTGTACAGGGTATGTAGGAATCCTTCAAGGACTGAAAACATTTCAACATGCTGCTAATTTTAAGAGTTCTACTTTAGAATATGAAAACTCATACCACCATGACTATGGTGTCATTACTGGAATAAAAGAGAATGAAAAATTGGGCACATTTCAACAGCAAGTACACTGAGTCTGATTTATGAGTTGAAGCAAATACCTTAGCTAGATTCACTCCCTGTAATTCACATCCCCAAATTCAAAAGATTGAGTGAGTGATTCAGCATTGGGGATGTTGAGAACTGAGGTCTGAGTATCAAAAATAGGCAATTATAGAAAACCTAATATAATGAAATTCATACTGAATGATGACTACTTGATAAGACTAATTCAGGGAATATATATTTTTCTATGAAAGTTATGAATGTGAGGATCACAACTTTCCCTTATTTCTACTTGCACGTGGCATTTAGAGAGATGCCAAAATGTACCTCAATAAGAGGCAGATTTTAGTTTTAATTAAGAAAAAAGTATAGATTAAAATCATATTTTTTGGATAACAGTGAAATCTCTGGGCTTGAAAGGGTAAACTGTAGCACTTTAAAAGTTAGAACTTGCTATGAACACTTGGAGCACATCTATCACAATCCACAATCCCATCACAACAGCATGTCTGGGCTACTTGACCTTTGCTAGGATTAGAAAATCTGGTCTTGAAAATACACAAATAATTACTTTGCAGTAGGGTTTAATTTGTTGTTAATAGGTATTTGTTAAAAAATAAGATCAGGTTAAATAAATGTACTGTCACGTCTTAATATACTAATGTTACTGGAAAAATGTTAGGAGCAAGCTATTTTACCATTAAAAAACTTGTGAATATTAATATATCATTTGCATGTGTGGATCTGAAAAAGCAACTATAGAAACTACGGAGTTTCTATTTCTTTTTCATTAAAGACTAATGCATATTTTTTTTGTTACACAGATGGACCAAATGTCTAGATTACTTGAGAAATTTGTTTGTGGTTGCATGTCTGTTTAAAAAAAGGTTTTTCTTTCTTTTCAATGCCAAAATATTTCTAACCCACAGAGTCTGTGTTCTTTGCTCCGTTGATAGTACAGTTTTATCTGAAATACTGATACCAGTATCTACCAGTATCTTATTAGTAGTACAGGTGAGAAAGGGGAGAATTTCTAATAAACAGCTAATATTTTTAATTGCATGGGTTATGATTTTTGAGCTCTAATGTAATGTTTGAACTTATGTCCAGTTCCATAGTTAATTTCATAGAAATTTTTACTGGATATATTATAGCCTCAACAAATACCATACAATGAAAATAAGTCTCAGTAAAGATTACAATGTAAAATTTTCTGACAATTTTGGTGTAATGAAAAACATAAACTTTATAATTTACTGTGGTGGGTTTAATTTTTGTCAGTACTTAAGATTCATCAGCCTTCTTTCATAACGGAATCCCTGTAGTATTTACTGTAAACATGTATTTGCCTTAAAAAAAAAGTATTTGGCCGTTATCATTACTGCATGAAATAAGCATTTGCTTAAAACTTAACATTCTTATAAAATGTTCTCGCTGAGATTTATGAAGAAATTTAAATCATGGCCAAATGTATTAATATAACCCATTTACAATAATTTAAATCAGCTTTCCAGAAAGGATTTCTTCATGATGTAATTGTGAAATCAAATTGAGGATCTAACTCATAAAAATCAAAGTTTAGTCAACTCAAGGACTAAGTCAACATGATGTCCAAATCATCTTTTTATTCTTTAATTTATTCTTTAAAATCAATCAATCCAGGAATCCTAATGTAGTTTTAAAATATATTGGTAATTTTTGTATTCTGTCTCACTAAAGATAAGCAAAATTTCTTATGCTCTTACTTGATAGCAGTTTGTTTGATTAGTTTGTTAATAATTAAACGCTTAAATTTTGCTTCAAACCATTTTTTTCCCTCAGTACATCTATCAAATGGGTAATGGCTGATTTTGTGTAAATGCTTTTGAATATCATTATTTTTCTAAGTCTTTGGTAGACTTCCTAAACTACTAACATTTAGAAAAAGATGCGTCTAGCAACTTTTTTTTTTTTTTATATACTTCAAGAAAGGAGACTCCCCTGCCCCCTAAAGTAGCATATACTTTGTGCTATGCATTGGCAAGGTCCCCAAATGTAAGCAATATCGAATTTTCAGCAAAACTAAATCTAGAAAAACTTTTTCATTGAAATATTAAATATTTTTCATATTAGGGTACAGTAGTTCCCCTTTCCTTCTTATTATAGTTAGTGACCATTGTGTTTTCTAACACTTTTCAAAGAAGAAAACCAACTCAAAATCAATCACGTGCTTTTGTTTACTATAGAAAGGATATTTAAAACAAACGAAGTGGCCAGGTTTTAAAACAGAAGAAACTATTTTTGTATTCTCTGGTTTAAAAAAAAATGTCTTTTAGCTCAGCTTAACAATGTTGAGCTTTTGAAATGTGAATTGCTATTACCAGAGTAAAGGTTTCATTTTTGTGAAATGAAATGAAGCATTGTATTTTTTCCTATCTGGCCACCTCCAGATCTGAAGGTCTCAAGGAGCTGGGGGTTCGCTCCTGGGGGCCTTCGTCCACAGTATGTCCCGCCAAGCCCTATCCCGAGTGCTAGAGGCCTAGGCTCGGAATCTGGTGCCTAATACCTACCGGAGAAAGGAAAACAAGTACAGACTGGAGAGAGGGTCGCTGACTTTTCTCAGTCATCTACCTGTAGGGAAGGTGTTGCGCCCCCCTCCTAGGCCTTCCTCGGGTCCCTCTAGCCCTCAGTTTTCTGGTCTCTCGACCTCCCAGGAGCCGGAGCAGCCAAGTAAAATCACAGGCTTTCCGCTGAGCTGGGATAATGTCCCAGCGGAACTGGGTTTAGAAAGGAAATTTGATGCAGGGCGTTAGTGTGACTTGGGGTTTAGCGCAGGAATAAAGGTTGGGGGCGGGCTGGAGCTCGGGGGCGGGCTCAAAGGCGTGAGGCGGTGAAGACTCTAGGGATTGGCGGGGCTCAGGAGGGCTGTGCAGAGCGTGGGTGAGTCGGCTTTCCGGCTGAGGGTAGGATCTATTCAGCTGCGGGGTGGGGCTCCTGTCATGGGGCGGAGCGCGGCTCCTGGGCGGGGCTCCTGGGCGCGTGCGCATTCTCGCGGCGTCGCAGTTGGGACAGGGAATCGAGGCGATTATGGCCACGTTCTTCGGGGAGGTGGTGAAGGCTCCGTGCCGAGCTGGGACAGAGGACGAGGACGAGGATGCCGAGAGGGAGACTCCGGAGGACAGGGAGGTCCGACGGCAGCTGGTGCGAAAGAGGTGCGGCACCCGGTGCGGGGAGTCGTGGGAAGCTGGTTGGGACTGGAGGTGCGATGCCTGCAGGCCCGGGACGAGTTTGAATCCAGGGTGGTCACCTCGCTTTTCAGGTACAGTCAACCAATGCAGTACGGTGCCCAGGGCATCCCATACACTCAGTATGCCTCTGAGGAGCCCGGCAGAGTCGTCGTGACTAGTTTGGTATAAGAGGTGTTAGTATTGCATTTGAATCATGAAAGAGAAACCGTTTTGGGTGAGTTGGATTCAGGCACGTCCTTAGGCTTGGTTCTGTGCGAATTTGTGAAGTGCTCTTTTCACTTCTTGAAGATTTACTGGGTTACAATGTTACTATAATCTTACCCTGCATACGCCATACATTTGATTCATGGACACTACCTAATTCGCCTGTTGTTCTTAAGTGCTGTCGAGTTGGTTCCGACTCACAGCGACCCTGTATGGGGTTTCCAAGGAGTGGCTGGTGAGTCCGAACCGCCGACCTTGTGGTTCAAACCCACCGGCGGTCCTTTGCTTTATCTCACAGCGCCACACACCAGGACCTAGTTCTCTTAGAACTTTCATATTCTCCAACCTACAATTCAGTTAGTATATGGATCATTAGCAGTTGGTCACCATGACTATTATTTCTAGTACTTGAAAATTAGAGAGATTAGTAAAATGACACCCTCCCATAAACAATCCTAATTCTGCAATTGTTAGTAGTTTGCCACATCTGTCTCATCTCTCTCACCCCTAAGTGATTCCCAGACATCTTACATTCTTACATTCATAAGAATGTATTATAAATTATTTGAGTATTTGCTTACATATGCTGCTGTCATCCCTAACAAAATTAACAATAGCTCCTTGATATCATTTAATATATGACATATCCTTTAATAAGAGTCTGGTGTGGCACTGTGGGATAAACACTGGACTCCCAGCAAGATCGGAGGTTCAAACCCAGCAGACCCTCCTCTGGAACATTGTGCAGGATTTCTATGAGTGGTACTGATTCCATGACACTTAACAACAAAAACATCATTTAATACCCTGTCTGTGGCCACAAGTACTCAGTTGTCTCAAAAAATGAGTTTTTGCTATATAAACGATTTTTTTTTTTTTTCAAATCAAAATCAATGGCCCGTGCATTATTTGTAGACATTTTGTTTTGGCAGCCTCCTTTTCAATTGTAGCTCCACTCCCTTTATTTCACCCTATTGTCAGAGACTGGCTACCTTGTAGAATGTCCCACATTTTTGGATTTGTTTGATTGTTTCATTATGATACCTTTTAACATGTGTATCCATCATTTGCGGTCCTACATTATCTCCTTCTGTGGTTATGGATCAAACTTGTAATCCATAGGATTTTCACTGGCTGATTTTTGGAAGTAAGGTCACCAGACCTTTCTTCCTAGGTTGTCGTAATTTGGATGCTCCACAGAAACCCTCTTAGCTTAGTAGCAGTGTACAACACAGTTCATTGACGGATATGGGTGGTTGTGCATGATGTGAATTGGCTGGGAATTGAGCCCGGGTCTTCTACATGGAAGATGAGAATTCTACCCTAATCACCACTCTTCTCACCTAAGACAAACCGGAATAAAGGCCTGGTGAATTACTTCTGAAAATCAGCCAGTAAAAACCCTCTGGGCACCAGGAAAATACATAATCATTAGAACAGTCAACCAACCATATTAGATCAAAAGGGCAGCAAGCGTAATGGTTACAAATCAGGCTGCTAACCTCAAGGTCAGCAGTTCGAAACTACCAGCTGTTCCGTGGGAGAAAGATGAGGCTTTCTGCTTCCGTAAAGATTTATAGCCTCGGAAACCCTGTACAGGGTCGTTATGAGTTGGAACCGACTCCACGGCACATAATCACCACCACCAAAGCAAAGAAGGTGGGAAGGGATAGGAAAGGATGAAGGAAAATGGGGAACACAGGAGAGTGCTGTTACATTGTGGGAATTGCAATCCTTGTCACAAAACAAAATGTGTATGAATTATTGAGTGGGAAACTGGTTTACTCTGTAAACTTTCACCCAGATCACAATGAAAACAACAAAAACAACCCTACCATTGTGCATGGGGTTTTCTTGATTCTGGAACAGCATCATCCATCGTCTGCATTTTTTATAAATGGATGTTCACATTAAAGGATTAGATCCAGGTTTAATATTTTATTGATAAGATTTCATTGAAGATGTGATTTGTGTGTGTTGGGTATTGAATTGTTCCCCCAAAATGTATGTTGTAAATCCTAAACCCTTATATTTAAGATTGTAATCCCATTTGGGATTAGAATTTTTGTAATGTCACTGAGTCCATATTAGTGTTGTTAGGTGCCATCAAGTCGGTTGCGACTCATTTTGTTGTTAGGTGCTGTCGAGCCGATACCGACTCATAGTGACCCTGTACACAACAGAACGAAACACTGCCCAATCCTGCGCCGTCCTCACAGTCTTTGCTACACTTGAGCCCATTGCTGCTGCCACTGGGCCAATCCATTTTCTACATTTTCTCTGATCAAGTATGTTGTCCTTCTTCAGGGACTGGTTTCTCCTGATGATGTGTCCAAGTATGAGAGACAAATGACCATCCTGGCTTTTAGTCCAGATGTCACGTTCTTTATGTAATCCAGTTTTCTGACAAATGCCTTTGAGTTGGTTCTGGCTCATAGTGACCCTGTATAGTGTTTCCAAGGAGCGGCTGGTGAATTTGAATCACTGACCTTGCAGTTCACTGACCTTGCTGTCCAGTGTATTATCCCATTATGCCACACCAGGTCTTCTTCCGATTAATAGAGACCCTGTATAGGGTTTCGAAGGAGTGGCTGGTGGGCTTGAACCTCTGATCTTAAGGTAAGAGCAAAACCTTATCCTATAGCATTATACCAGGACTCCCATGTCAGTGTAAGGTGTGTTTTAAGCCAATCACTGATATAAAAAGAGGCAGTTTAAGCAGAGAGAAGTGCTGATATAAAAAGAAGCAGTTTAGGCAGAGAGAAGCAAGCTTAGATGCTAGAAGATGAAGATCTCCAAGGAACATGGAAACAAGCTTCCCTCAGAGGCAATCCAGAGAGGAAAGCTTTTCCCTAGAGCAGGGGTGAGGAATGTCTGACCCACAGGCTATATGAAGCCCACAAAGTCATTTGGTCTGGCCCTGCCAAGGTAACTGCAGTTCTAGCCATCACACTAGGAGTGAGTTAATTAAATGTTTGACCAAATATAGTGGGTTAATTTTAAGTCGATAATTTTGTAAGGCCTGCAAGTGATGTTATAAATTGTGGCAGAGAAAAGATTCTCCACCCCTGCCTGTGCACTGAATTCCAACTTCTGGTTCCCTAAATCTGAAAAAGGAATTTCTGTTATCATCGCCACTTGTGATGTTTCTGTCACAGTGGTAGTGGTTTTGTTTTGTTTTTAATGTTCATTGTGAATTTTGTGATAGTTTACATGGGAGAACATTAGCTTTACATTCATCCTATCGTATATCGTTTCATTGCCAAGGTTACAGTCTCCTCCATGCATCATCAACCAACCAAAGGGTATACCCTGTAAGCTCCCCCTACCCCTCCCATCAGCACACAGCCCCTTTCCTTCTCTGGGTCTAGAGTTCCCAGTCACTCCATCTCTCCATGTCATTGTCTCTGTCTGTAAGGCAGTGTTTTTAAGGCATTCTGTTGTCTGACTCTTAGGGTTGCTGAGATTGGTCAGTGGGCCAGGTAGATAGCCCACTGTTGGCTTTACCACTGCCTTTGCATTTTATGGCTTTATTGGTTAGTTATTACCTGAATCCATTGTTTCCTTAGGATTGTAATCTTGTTCTTGGTAAAATTCCATGCATTTCTCATATTATTGAATTGTTGTTAAGTGCTGTCAAGTCGATTCTGACCCATAGTGGCCCTTTGTAGGGTTTCCAAGGAGCAGCTGGTGAGCTTGAACCGTCGACCTCAAATGGCTTTGCAGTCTGGTGCATTAACCCACAGCGCCACACCAGGACTCCTTATTGAATCATAACGTATGATTTTCATCGTAAAATGGTACTGGTTATTTTATGTGGCTTTAGTTTCATCTTTTCTTTTTTTGTATTAGGGAAGTGCGGCTTTTTCGAAGACAAACAAAAACAACGTTGGAAGTTTCCCTGCTAGAAAAGTATCCTTGTTCCAAGTTTATAATTGCTATAGGAAATAATGCTGTAGGTAAGTAAAAATGCAGAAGACTACACATTATTTTGAAAGTGCATAATCTTGAGTTACTTATTTCTTCCTGTCGTGAAAGATTTTAAATGTCTGTTCCCTTTTTGAAAAAGCCGTGTAACTTGACTTGTGAGTGAAATCTTTCCCATGAGTATATTGTTTATGTGGGACCATCATTTTTTTCCCCCATAAACTTAAAAACAAGATTTAAAGAGAATGCCCTCGGCTTCAGGAACCTACATACTCAAGGAATGGTGTGTAGACCTTTGAGGTATGTAGGCTTCCTTACACCCTTGCCTGTTTGGGTCTGATGTGGAGAACTGAGGTAATGTGTGTATTGTTCTATTGTAGTGATGGTTCTTAGAAGTTTTGAGTTAACAGACTCATTTGAGAATATAAAGAGAACTCAACATATCAATAAGAATTGCTAACATTTTTGAGCACTGTATTGTAAGGTCTTTACACATTTTAATTCATTGATGGGTTAAAGGTAGAACAATGTAGCGTCCAGCTAGAATGGTGTATATATATTCGTACATACACAAACATGTATCTATTCAGGGGGCTCACTGGCTCTGAGGAGAGCATTTGGGAACCCACTTAAAATTTCTTGCCCCAGAAGGTATCCTGGCTGCTCTTAGAACATAGTAAAACCAGTTGCCATCAAGTTGATTCTGACTCTTGGTGACCTTATAGGACAAAGACTATAAATCTTTATGGGAGCAGACAGCCTCTTCTTTTTCCTACAGAGCAGCTGATGGATTCAAACTGCTGACCTTGTGCTTAGCAGCCCAACAAGTAACCCAGTGCACTGCAGGTCCCTTTGCACTATGAGAGTAGGGTGAAAGGTCTGTCAATAACTTGTTCTGCATTCCTGCCTCCTTAGCTTGTTCTGCATTCCTGCCTCCTGTCTGCCTTTAAGGAGCTGTGGTATCATAGTGGTTAAGAATTGGGCTGCTAACCTCAGGGTCAGCAGTTCGAAACTAGCAGCTTCCATGGAATGAGAAAGATGAGGCTCTTTGCTCCCGTTAAGATTCACAGCCTCAGAACTGACTCCACGGCACCTAACCCCACCACCACCACGCCTTTATTCAGAATACAGCCTTTCACATCTTAAGGACCTCAGTTTCCTTATCTGCAAAATGACAAAGATAGATAGACTGTCTTGACCTTTAGATTTAAAATTCTAGAGTAACTTGAACTTACTTTTTATTAAAAAAAAAAAAGAAAAGCAACTTGTATAACAAAGCGCTAATAACTCACGTTTTTTCCACAGCATTTTTATCATCATTTGTTATGAACTCAGGTGTCTGGGAAGAAGTCGGTTGTGCTAAACTATGGAATGAATGGTGTAGAACCACAGACACAATAAGTCTGTCCCCCACAGAGGCTTTTTGTGTGTTTTATCATCTAAAATCAAATCCTGCGGTACGTGGAATTTTAACTTGTGTATTTAAAAAGTCATTATTAAGCATCATTTATACGCTAGTGCTGCTATGACACAAATATAAGTGTGTGATTCTAAAGAACAGAAATTTATTGGCTCACAGTTCTGGAGGCTAAAAATCCCAGTCAGCGTCTGGGCTGTGTGATTCTCATCTTTTTTCTGTTGTTGTTGTTAGGTGCCATAGAGTCGGTACCGACTCATAGTGACCTTATGCACAACAGAATGAAACACTGCCCGGTCCTGCACCAACCTCACGATCCTTGTGACGTTTAAGCCCATTGTTGCCGCCACTGTGCCAATCCATCGCGCTGGGGATCTACCTCTCTTTCTCTGACCCTCCACTTTACCACACATGATGTCCTTCTTTAGGACTTGGTCTCTCCTAATAATATGTCCAAAGTATGAAAGACAAGACTGGCCATCCTGGCTTCCAAGAGCACTGTGGCTGTGCTTCTTCCAACATAAACATAGATTGATTTGTGCTTTTGGCAGCCCATAGTACTTTCAGTATTTTCCTCTAACACTATTAACTCAAATGCATCAATTCTTCTATGGTCTTCCTTATTCACTGTCCAGCTGTCAAATGCATATGAGGTTACTGAAAATACCATGGCTTGGGTCAAGTGCACCTCTTGGATTTCAGCAAGCCAGGTTGTATAATTTGCATATTGTAGGTTTTTAATGAGTTTTCCTCCAATCCTGAGGCCACATTTTTCTTCATATATTCCAGGGTAGCTGGATTATATGAAGAAAAGTATTTTGTAGCTTCAGGGTTCCTGTGACTCCTTGGCTTGTAGATAGATGATCCTTACATGGCTTCTGTTTTCTGTGTATACTTGTGTCTTTATCTAGTCAGCTGTTGCTATGCCTCAGAAGTAATTAGTGTAGGATACTACACTGTTATGTCCTCATTCATGTAATAATGCACCTCATTCTAAACATGATCACATCCATAGATGCAAGGGCCAGGAAATCAGTGCATAGTTTTGGGGGCACAATTCAATTCCTAACACTATTTATTTGAATTCCCCATTCATTAATATGTACTTTTCGGCTGAGGAAATCTGCCTGTAGAGAGTGGAATCAAAACAAACCCGTGTCTGTGGAGTTGATTCCTACTCATGACAATCCTAAGTGTTTTAAAGTAGAACTGCTTCCTAGGACTTTGTTGGCTGTGATGTTTATGGAAGCAGATTGCCAGACTTTTCTCCCGCAGTGCCGCTGGGTTGGTTTGAACTGCCAACCTATCAGTTAGTAAGTAGTTGAGCACAAACCATTTGTGTCACTCAACCACCTTCAAACCACTTTTTTTCTCCCTCAACCTTTTATTTGAAAGGTTTACAGAGCAGATCATAATTTTGCATTCAACAAATCATATACTTTGGTTGCAATCTCTTCCATGTACCAACCGTTAACTGTATTTACCCCATTCACTTTTTTTTTTTTTAATTAAAAAAATTCCTTTCACTTTGCAAGCATTTTAAACACACACACACATAACTGTTCCATAATCCTCCCACTCATGCAAATAGCTCTCAAGTTTGATTCTTCAAATTTTACGTTTTTTCCATTCTGGCTCATTCTTTGCTTCCTCATCATCAGATTCAACTTGGACAAACAATTTTAGGCTGAGTCTTGGAGTATGCTGGAGAAACCAGTATGGGTTGTCTTCAGCTGCTTTGGCATGCCGCAAAATGACTTCTCTGGGATCACTGTCATCGGTGTTGTCCAAAGCAATGTCTTTTACAATGTAAGAAGACAGTGTGCTCCCATGGGTTCCAACCTGGCCACCACAACCTGGGCCTGCTACAGGAGGTTAGGGTTTGTGAGACTTCAGGGGGTCCAGTATGTCCTTCTCCAGCTGTTTTCTTGTACTCCGCTGGCGGGGCTCACGGAACATAGGCAAGGCTTAAGGGGTGATAATGTAGTCTTGGGTTAGAGTCTCAGCTTGTTTTGCCTTCCATTGTGTTTTTACCACACATAATTTTGCTCCCCTCTGACTATTGTTGAGGTCATAATACACTTTGGCCAATCCATTTCCAGTTCCGACCATAATCTGGTTCAGTTTAGGATGCCACAGGCAATGAACAACACTCGCATCTCTGATGTCTATTTCATAGACTTTTTGGAAAGTATTGCACTCAAAGAAAACAAGCTTGCCGCTGCCACATCCCCGTTGAACAGATGTGCCGGTGACACTGAATTTATCATCTGGACTGAAACAACAGTCAGTCATTGGAAACATGGTGGGAAGAACAGAGGCTGAAAAAAGTGGCTTATTAAACTGTTGGACATCCCATAATTTTAATGTATCATCACCTCCACGAGAGACAAGGGCATTGCCATCATAGGAAAAGGTCACACAAGGCGTGTCTGTACCTGATGTGTGAGCTTGTTTATAGTAGAATTTAGGTTGGACCAAAAACCAGCAAAGAGGGTAGAGGTGCAGTGAAGTTCGCCGTCAGCAATACCACAGAACACCAGGCAAAGCAGATCCAGGGCAGAGCTCCAAAACTCAGAGCCACAGAGATAGGAATATTTTGAAGGTTTGAAGGCTCATAGATTGTGGAACCTGCGCACTTTTGAATCTGCCGGGCTGGGCTTGGAGGCCTGGAGCTGACATCTTGGCGAGACCACTCCTATTCATTTTTAACTATTGCATTCCTCCCTGTGTCTTCTGCTGCTTTATCTTTCTACTGCTAACTTCCCTCTTGTTGTATATTGCCTGCCCTGTCACCCGTGTTAACATTTGTCTATCCTCTAGCCTGTGAATAATTCCTCCCTCCCCAAGCTGTAACTATCATAGATTGTTTCTTTTATGAAGAAAACCTTTTCTTAGCTTTTTGCAACATTAGTCTCATATAGTATATGCCCTTTTGTGATACACTAATTTCACTTACCACCACTCATCTGCAGTTTGTCGTACTCTAATGGCTTGTGAGTTGCTGTGTTTCTGGAAGCTTTGTCACAGGTATTTTAAATACCAGCAGGGTCACCCATGGTGGACAGGTTTCAGCTGAACTTACAGAGGAAGGCAAACTAGAATAAAGGAGAGACAAACTACTTCCAAATATTTAGTCACTGAAAATCTTACGAATAGCAGTGGAACACTGTCAGCCCCAGACTATTGAATATTGAAACATGATGAAGAGCACCAGAATATTGTCAGATATAGTGCCAGAAGATGAGCCCCTCAGGTTGGAAGACCCTGAAAATGCGACTAGGGGAGAGCTGCCTCCTCAAAGTAGAGTTGACCATATGACACAAATGGAGTAAAGCCTTTGGGACCTTCATTTCCTGATGGGGCACAACTCAAACTGATGAGTAACAGCTGTAAACCTCCACTAATTGGAACGTGGAATGTATCAAGTATGAATCTAGGAAAATTGGAGATTGTCAAAAATGAAATGAACATATAGATATCCTAGGCATTAGTGAGCTGAGAAATGGACTGATACTGGCCATTTTGAATCTGACAGTCACATTGTTTACTAAGCCAGGAATGACAAATTGAAGAGCAATGGCTTCAAATTCATCATCAGAAAGAACATACTAGGATTTGTCTTGAAGTAAAACAGTGTCTCTGATACTGATATCCTTATGCCTACAAGGAAGACCAGTTAATACCACTTGTATTTAAATTTATGCACCAATCACTAAAGCCAGTGAGGATGAAATTGAAGAATTCTACCAACTTCTTCAGTCTGAAATTGATCAAACATGCAATCAAGATGAAGTGATAATTATTGGTGATTGGAACGCAAAGGTTGAATCAGTAGTTGGAAAATTTGGCCATAGTGATATAAATGATGCTGGAGATTGTGTGATAGAATTTTACAAGACCAATGACGACTTCATTGCAAATAGCTTTTTTAAGTAACAAACGGTGACTATACACATGGACTACACCAGATAAGGTACACAGAAATCAAATTGACTATATCTATGGGAAGAGACTGTAGGAAAGCTACATATCATCAGCCAGAACAAGGCCAGGGCAGGCTGTGGAACAGACTATCAATTGCTCATATGCACATTCAGGTTGAAGTGGAAGGAAATTAAAACAACCCCATGAGAGCCAAAATATAACCTTGACTATATCCCATCTGAATATAGAACTCATGTGAAGAACAGATTGGATGCATTAGACACTAAAGATAGAAGATTAGAAGAGTTATGGGATGATGTCAAGAACACCATACAAGAAGAAAGCAAAAAGAAGACAAAAAAGAAGGAAAAGACCAAAATGGATGTCTGGGGACACTTTTCAGTGTAGAAATGCTAAAGCAAATGGAAAAAGTGAGGAGGTACAAGAGCTGAACAGAAACTGTCAAAGAGCATTTCCAGACAAAATTAAATATAGTGAAGTATGCAAAGACCTGGAGTTAGAAAACCAAAAGGGAAGAACAGCATTTCTCAGGCTCAGGAAACTGAAGAAAAAATTCAAGCCTCAACTTGCAATAATGAAGCTTCTATGGGCAAAACATTGAATGATGCAGAAAGGATCAAAAGAAGATGGACGGAATACACAGTCATTGTAACAAAAAGAATTTCAGTGGTCAGCCATTTCAAGAGGTAGCATATGGTCAAGAGCCAGTGATCACGAAGGAAGTTGTTCAAGGTGCATTGAAGTCATTGGCAAAGAACAAAGTACTGGGAATAGATGGAATACAAATTGAAATCTCTCTACAAACTGATACAGCACTGGAGGCATTCACTCATCTATGCCAAGATTTGGAAGACAACTGGCTGGCAGGTTGACTGGAAGAGATCTGTATTTGTGCCCATTCCAAAGAGAAGTGACCCCAATGAAATGCGGAAATCATTGAACAAATCATTGATATCCCTTGGGAGTAAAGTTTTACTAAAGATAATACAAAAAAATGACTGCAACCATGCATTGACTGAGAACTTCCAGAGGTTCAAGTCAGATTCAGAAGAGGACGTGGAAGGAGGGATATCATTGCTGACATCAAATGGA